AAAGAAAGAAACTAATAAAAAAAAAGGCAGGGGAAGGTGTTGGGGCAAAGATAGAAACTTAGGTTGGACCAATCCTTATTTATTGGCTCTGTAACAAACATTTTATTTTTTCATTATCTTCCTCAAAGGGTTGTGGTGAGAAAAGCACAGACTTGTTGAGGAAAAAGTCCTGAATTTTGAACAGTAAGTCCTTATTCAGAGGGATCTGTAATATCAACCTTATGGATATTCCCTTCATTGAAGTGTATTATAATGCTCATTGACTATACAATTTTTAGCTGGTATTCCTTTTTTAAAACAGATTTTATTGATATTTTTTGTTTTTACATCACTTAGATTTTTTTCTGATCCTTCCCTCAAACCATCTCCCTAAAACAAAGAGCTTTTAAAAGGATAAATGAAAAAGGGAAAGAATTTTAAAATCAGCAAAACATCAATACATTAAAACCTGTTGAACCAAGGCATAATTTTGTAATAAAATGTGTTTTGAAATCTATATTTCAGTTATTGTAAGGAACTAGTAGTTAGTAGCCTGGGAGGCGAGCTTTAGGGGAACCTTTCCCAGGACTTTCAAAAGATACTCTGCCTCTACCTAGGGTTGGCCCTCTTTCCATTGTTTTCCCTTGTGTTTTTAAGACCTTGTGGATTTTTCCTCCTAAGAGCTTTCCCCAAATGGCATGTTTTGTCCTTTGCTTTGCCTGACCACACCCTCTGCAGAACCTGCTGGTGGGCCACTCCTTTAAGGCCTGTAAGATTAGATGCATTCCCCACCCCCTCACCACAGTGGCTGAGGTCCCCTGGAGCTGGCAGTTAGCTCTGAGTCTGAGGATGGAAGGAGGCTGTTGAGATTAAATACACCGTGGCCTTCTTCCAGTCCATCAGGATCCACTCTGCTATTTAGCACCCAGCCTGGCACTTGGTATTTCCAATGAGCTTTTTTTGCAGGACAGGGATCTCACTTTACAACATAGCATTCACTTTCCTAAAAAGCTACACAGGAAGCTAGTGTGTAGGACAGCCTGGTCTAGTCAAAAAAGCGTGAGACTTCACGACCTAAATTTGAGGACTGACTCTGGCCCTGCCACCTACTAGCTATGAGACCACAGGCAAATGACTTCATTTCTTTCAAGCCTCAGTTTACTCATCTGGAAGGGAGAGTGAGGGAAGGAGAGCAGGTCCTACCTACCTCACCAGGGCAATTCTGAGAAAAGTGCTTTGTATTTCACCATTATCAAAGACTTGTAAATATGAGCTCTTATTATTTCTTGAAATAGTACAGTACCATGAAACAGACTGGACAGTGCAGTCAGGAGACCTGAGGTCATGATGTTCAGAGCTAGAAGAGGTTATAGGGTTGTAGGATCAGAGATCTGGAGCTAAAATGGGCCTTAGGGGCAGTGAGGTACCATAGAAAGGGTACTGTCATTTCAGTCAAAGGAACAGATTCAATAGCTACCTCTGATGTTCATTATTTTGGTGACCTTGGGCTAATTACTTAACTTCTTAGTGACACAAGTCTTTCCTCATTCTGGTCTTTTCTCTACTAAATTGTCAAATTAATTTTCCTAATGTGCAAATTTGACCATGTCAGTCCCTGTACCCTTATTCAATAAACTTCAGTGGCTCCCTATCACCTCTAGGTGATACAATACAAATACAATTGAATATAAAATCTGTTTGGCGTTCAAAGCCTTCACAATGTGGCCCCTCCCTATCTTTCCAGTCTATTTATACCTAACTCCTCCAACCCACTCTGTGATCCAGAGACACTGGCATCCTTGCTCTTCCTCTAATGAGACATTCCATCTCTCCACTCTCATAAGATGCTCCATTTCCAGATTCCAGGCATTTTCACTGGCTATCTCCCGTGCCAGGAATACTTCCTCTCTTCATCTCTGCCTCCTTTCTTCCTTGGCTTCTGTCAAGCCTAAAGTAAAACCTATCTTCTCTAAGAAGCCTTTCCTGATTTCCCTTTAATGGGGTGTCTTCCCTCTATCGATTCTCTCCAGTTTATAGGGATTATTGCTCATTTGTATGTAGTTGTTGGCGTGCTTTCTCCCCTATTAGACTTTGAGCTCCTTAAGATCAGAGACCACCTTTTGCCTTTCTTTGAATCCCCAGAGTTTAGCACAGTTCTTGGCACAAATTGGTGCTTAATAAATGCTTATTGTCTGACTGTAAATTTCAGATGAGTTGCCATTCTACATAGATGGCCAGGTCCCCACACCTAGAATCTCCTGCACATAGTTTCCCTCTTCACTTTCACAGATCAGAACTACTTACAATTTATAGTCTTAGAAATTTGCCTGAGTCTCTAAAGGGTTATGTGACTTTCCTGGGGTCACACTGATAGTTTATGTCAGATGTAAGACTTGAACCCAGATCTTCCTTACTATAGGGATGGTCCTATATCAACTATGGCACCATGGAAGAGCCAAAAGAATGACTGGATAGAAGAGCATCATGTTATAGTAGAAGGAACCCTAGACTTGGGACTGGTAGACATCTCTTTGTTAGGTTGTGGCTCTGACACCAACTGTCTGTGTGACTGTGGACAAGTGACTCCTCTGAGCTTCAAGATTCCTTGCAGGTAGAATGGGCCTAATGATATTTGTATTGTTGGGAGGAAAGCACTTTGTAAACCTTAAAGTGCTCTTGAAATGTAAGCTATTGTTATTATTCCAACTCCCCTGCTTGGAATGTGCTCCGTCCTCACTTTTGTCATATCCCTTGTTCTCTTCAGACTCAGACCAAGCACTGCTTTCTATATAAGGTCTTTCCTGGGCCTCACAGCTGCTAATGTCTTCCTTCCCCAAACTACCTAGTATTTGTGTTGTAGATATTCCATTTATGCATATATATGTTCATATCATCTCCCTCCATACAATGTATAGAAACTTTTTGAAGGCAAAAAACTATTTCAATTTTTGCCTTTATAACCCCAACACCTACCACAGTGCCTGGACATAGTAGACACTTAATAAATGTTTGTCATCTGATTGATGGAGGAGAATATTTATATTAATGAGATCATGGATCCATTTGAATATTGAGTATATGAAGTATAAATATAGCACCTTCTCCGGGGGCTACTTTCCAACTTGGCCCATATAAGGTACAGGTTGACTCTCCAAGGTCAGTGGAATTCACATCCTAAGACTCTTACTCATAAGCACCAGCTGGTAATCTTACTTTTAATAGTAATCTAGTAGATATAATTAAATCAAAGCAAAGGTAGCTAAGTGGTATGGTGGATAGAGAGCACTAGACTTTGAGTCAGGAAAATCTGAGTTTAAATCTAGCCTCAGACACTTACTAGCTGTAAGACCTTAGATAAGTCACTTAACCTCTGTCTGTTTCAGTTTTCCCATCTATAAAATAGAGATAATTATAGCACCCACCCCTCAGGGTTCTTATGAAGATAAAATGAGATATTTGTAAAGTCCTTTGCAAACCTTAAAGTGCTATATAAGTGCTAGCTATTATTAAGATGGTATAGAGAAAGAACTGATAAATAGAAGTATGTATAGAATGATTTTACACATATATATGGTGTGTGTGTGTGTGTGTGTCTAATGGTAGCCATCTCTATGGCAGGGGGAGGGAGGGAAGAAAAAAACATTTACATGATAACTTTATTATATATTTAAAAGGAATAGCAAGTTGTACATAATAGATTTTTAGCTTCATGTACGATTGTTTTTATTATACTATGTTATGAAAATGCTTGCTTAATTCCATAAATTGTAAACAAAATAAGTAAAATATTTTTTAAAAGACGGCATAGTGAAAACTACAAATCAACACCCCTACTCCCTACACACCTGGGTATTCTCTCCATGAACACACATGATGTCAATAGGAAGAATATGTACAAATTTAGGGAACCCTGTTAGTGAGGTACACATATATGTTGCTAAGTGAACTCACACTTTGGGCACTGCAAGGTCCTGGTATCTTTTTTCTCTTCTTGTGGTGTCCTCGTGCTGTTTCCCTCTGGGTGAAATGTCTTTGCTGGGTAAATAGCTCTACTGCAAGACACCATGGCAAATGTGATGAGAAGAAAGGAATGGATTACCCCACCTGTTGCCTTCTGGCAGAGAAAGCCAGGGATGGACCACGCTCCTCAAAGCTGCTTCTTGCCTCCAGCGTCTCAGAGCTGGCAAGCTTAGCTTCCAAATGATCATCATGGGCATGATGTCAAGCTCCCCTTCCCAACTCTACCAGGAATTTTTTTCGCATGGCCCCTGTAGGCATACCAGGGTTTAGGCAGGTATTTCTTTCTTTCTTTCCTTTTTTTTTTTTGCTCTCAGATTTAACATGTTAACACCTCATTACTTCTGTTATCCTGCTCTATAATTCTATCTATCTATGCCCCTTAGTTTCTGTGATTAATTACCTGGTGGGGGAGGAGGGGGAGAGGAGAGAAGAGAAGAAAAGAACTAATTTCCCTCCTCCACTTAAAATAATATATAAAATCATTGATGTGAGTAAATGCATAATTGTATATATAATAGTGGAATTGTAGGACTGTTGTAGCACCACATTTAAGGTATTCTAGAAATATGCGTGTTGATGTGGGTGTTGGATATATTTCTGTAACTCTGGGAGAGGTACTTTTGCTCATAGTCGGGTCTCAACATTAGATTCGCTTTGAATAGATAAGTTACAAAGCTGGGTTTTATAGATGGGACTGACACAGGGACACATCCCCACCCCTCTCACACCCCTTACTGCTAAATAGTTTTCAGGACACCAGCTGATTCTCTCTCTGAGGCCTGGCACAGACAGTAAATATAGAGCAACTTCCAGCCCCCACCTCTTCCCCAATTTGCATTTCCTCAATGGTGCTGAATTCCCTCGCAAAGAACTGACTGAAGCTTTTAATAAACATGAGAAGGCAGGGCTCAGTGAGGGGTGGGGAGCGGGATGGTGAGGGAGGGAGACTGGGAATTCTGTACCCACTGCAAACCCACACAAGAGACTCTCACCCATTGACCAGGAGCTCAGGGCTGGCAAAAATTCAGAAGCCGAGTTTGTAGGAGAACATGTGCTTTCCCTGGGAGATTCTCCAGCCACCAGACACTTCGGAAGAGCTCACAAGCAGCCGTCCTTGTGTGAGTTCCTTGGGCATGGCATCATTCCGGGCATGCCTACTCAGACAGCTCTGGGGCCAGTAAACTGTGAACAAACCTGTTTGCTTTGCCTGCGTATAGTATAGTGCAGCTCCAGCAGATAAGCCCTAATTGTTATGCAACTCCTTAGCGTAAGCTCCTGGCATGGCTCTTATGTTTCTCTTGGGCTAAGACCATCCAAAATAACAACAAGAAAGCATGTAACGAAAGGCCCGGCAGAAAAGGACGAGATCACCCTGGCCTTGAAAGATCTAGGGATCGGACAGTCCCTGACTTGAAGCCTCCAAAATGCTTAGTGTGATGTATTTTCTCCGGAGCTTCTTCAAGGTAAGCCAAGGAACTTTTCCTGGGCTGCTTTGGGTTTCCTCGACTGGGCAAAAAAGGGAGGGGAAGCGAAATCTCAGAAGAGGAATGTGGGAAGTAACTCATGGGGACCAGTGCCTGGAGCCCTTCTCCTGGCTGCACTTGAGTGTGGTTCAGAGCAGTTTGGTGTAGTGAAGACGGTTATTTGCTTTAGTGTGTGTTTCAGTAGGCAAAAAAAGGGGGGAGAGAAGGGGGATAGGGTGGGTTAGGACCACAGCCCCAACAAAATACATTTGTTGGGTGAGTAGTTGATGGCAAGCATGTTGGGATAATAAGAATAGCTGACATTTCTATAGATTTTTATATTTTACAAAGAATTTTCCTTCTATAGGGGTAGGTGTTAGACCTGCAAGTTTCATTATACAGGTGGGAGAAGTGACATCACCCATCCATGATCCACAGCCAGTCAGTATAAGAATCAGAATTATGAATGAGGCATGTAGACTGACACCAGGTCAGGTGTTCCTCTCACTACACCATGTTGCCTTCTTGTACAGTTGTTCTCTGGGTACCTCCAGAATAAAGTGCTTTCTCAGAATGGGTGGTTTCTAAGGAAGCAATCAGTCTTCACATGATCAATCACCTTTGGTGTTTTCACTTTGGGTATGCCCTGTTTGCCACACACATGGGTGGAAGCATAGTACAAGATAGAGAGATATTTGGGTTTCCAATGGGGGTAGTTAGGTACTTTCTACATTAGAATTGAAAGGAACCACAATTTTAGACTTGGCCACAAAGGATGAATTATCCCTACCTAGTGATTTGAACTTTCTGGGAGCTAAGGTCAAATCCCAATTCCACCCCTTATTACCTGTGTGACTTTGGGAAAATCTCAAAACCTCTCTGGGCCTCAGTTTTGATGACCCCAGGTCCCTCTAAGTTTGAAATCTATGATCCTCTTCTGGGCACAGATAAGAGCTGAGATCAGCCATGGCTCACTTTCTGGTTTTGTCTTTTTTTGTACTCCTTTTGCTTGGCACAATGCCTGGCACCCAGTAAGGACTTAATAAATGCTTGTTAATGGATTGTTTGATGGATTTCTACTATGCCCTTGGTTATAGAGGCTCTAACACCTATCAGAAGTTCCATTTCATTGTAGAATGATTGGAGAGGGTTTTTACTAGATTGCCTGGTCTTACAGAATACTCAACGCCACCAATGAGAGCTGAATTAAACGCTTTTTGATTCCTAGGTGAGGGAACATTACCACAAAAGGTGGTTCTATTGCCATGTACAAAATGAGAGTGATTATAAGAATCTTCATTGGGAAAAAGAAAGCCAGCCTCCTGGATGAATTGGTCTGTCCTAATCAGTTGGTCTAACCTACAATGTGTGATAGAGAAGCCAATGGTCACCCGAAAGCCAGATGTCCTTGAAACTGGTTGGCATTTGGAAAACTACTCTTTTTTTTCTGTTTCCACCTCTCCTGTCACCAGCCCTATCTCCTCCTTTGTCCTTCTTTTCAGCTAGTCCTATCCCAACAATGTGTGGCAATGACTATTGACTCTTTTTTTATTTTAAAAAGTCAGAAAAGGAAACTCTCTTGCTATTCAGCCACTGTGACTGACTAGGGCTCAGGGGTACAGAGATTGTGAATATGTGAGGAGGATGTGAAAACATCCATTGCAGAAAGCCAGGCTAGAATTTCAAACTCACAGATCTGCAAGGGTAAGATGAAGTTCAAAGCTTTCAGGATAAGAAAATCCCACACTTGTCCTCTCATCCAACTGTAAGGTCAGTACTGTGGGGAGAATGTCCATGAGACAGTTCATCCATGATGTTATTCTTATTGTCCAGTTGTTTGAGTCATGTCCAACTCTTCATGACCCTATTTAGGGTTTGCTTGGCAAAGACAGTGGAGTGGTTTGCCATTCCCTTCTCCAGGTCATTTTACAGATGAGGAAACTGAGGCAAACAGGGTTAAGTGACTTATCTAGAGTCACATAGCTAGTAAGCATCTGAGGCTAGATTTGAACCCAGGAAGATAAATCTTTCTGACTTCAAGACAGGCACTCTATCCACTGTGCCACCTAGCTGCCCCATCCATGATGAGCCTTCAACAAGTACACACATTTATCATAGCAATATCTCTTCTTCCTGTTCCCTCTATGTTTTTCAGACAAGAGTCCTCTTGTCACAGAGGCTCTACTGTTAAGGTAATGTCTACTGAGCTGTTAGTAATTGCATGTGTTACCCTTCTTGGAATATTCGCAATGAAAAAGATTTGGGAAGGAAGATGCAAAGGAATGCATTTCAAAGCGGAAGAATTTCTAATGGAAGCTCACTTATATAAGCTGAGGGGAGATATTTTAGGAAAGGGAGCCTTCCCAGTGCTCCTTAAGTCACACTATATAGACTGTACTTTATTGTATCTATGAATCCATCCTAGGGTCCTTTTAAATAGTGAGAGCATGCCTTCAAGTCCATTTAATGTTACCAATGGTCTCTCACCAGAAAACAGAGAAAAGAACTTTGGGTTTATTTTAAGTAGCAAATAGTCTTAGCAGAAGGCAGTGGAAACAGCAATGGTAAGAGAGATACTGTTAAACTTCACCTTTCTTGAAGAAGCCTTTTCCCTGAGAGAGAAAATGAATATAGTAACTTAGGAGAAACTTTCCAATAGAAGTAATTCTTGCTTATTTGAGTAGTACATATCTGGGATTAAGGACACAGGAAGAGATTTCTGAGAAGTGGACTGATTCCTTTGTTTAGAAAGTAATACCATTAGTATTCTCTTAGTAACATTTTGATATGATCCATTATATTCCCTCCCATCACATCTAATACCATTGGTATTTCTTAAGTATACCTTGTCTTGTGTTAGCTGCTATGATATGAGGTAAGACACTAAGCTTACCCTCATCAAATTGTAGAACATTAGGGATGGGAGGGCTTATAGACATCATCTAGTCCAAAACTATCCCCCATTTTACAGGTGAGAAAATAGAAGCCTAAGTAAGTGAAGTGATAAACATATTATACTAACTTTATAAGGCAGGGCTATAGTGAATAGTAGGACAAAAAGTGAAAGGAAAGATAACTTTGGGTTAGATTAGGCAAGAAAAGTTTCATAAAGGAGATGTGGCATGAAATGGATTTTGTATTCACTATCAGATATCTGGATAAAAAGCAAGAAAAGTAGTAAATCATCCAACTATTTCCAGATATCACAATGTTTTGGAACTGTACAGAGGTGTTCCTTTGGCTTTCAGTGTCAACATGGAAGTAAGACATCATTAAGCAACAAACTCAGGACCAAATCTCTTTCTCTGGGGGTTTATAAAAAAGTTGGGAATGGATAGTACATGCATGGTAGCACAGTGCTGGTACCACTCAATTTGCCTCTTCATATATTTTCTTATAAATATATTTATGACATATAATATATTAATAATATATATTCTTATAGGAACAAGGACTGGGCCTGTGATTTCATGGGCATAGGTATAGGACAATATTGGATGAAGAAACTCTCTCTACCAATGCAGATCAATACCTTCTGTGCAATTTATAATCTAATAGTTTAGAGAGTTGCCTAGGGCACTGAGAGGTTAAATATTTTCCTAGGGTCACACAACCACTTTGCATTTGAGGTAGAACTAGAATGTATATCTTCCTGGCTTTGAGAAAGATTCTCTATTCATTGCACCAAATTTGCCAACACCCCCCCCCCATTTCTTTCTTTCTTTCACTTTCTTCCCCCTCCTTCTATATAAATATGTGTGTTTATACACACATAACTCTGAGCTGGCTGTTTAGAAATTATATACATACACCTGGCTCTTCAATTAGATTCTTTAAAGTTTCTTGAAGGTAAGTATTGGTGTCTTTTCCTATATGCCACTGAATGTGGTCACCCAAATAGGCATTCAATAAATACAAATGAGAAGAACAAAGAAACCTGCATAGCCAGCTGTGAGTTACTTGGGGGTGGGTTGTCCCTTTTGTTATCTCTATAGGCCCCTTGTTCTGCATCTTCTTTGTACTTCCTGTGATTTAGGTACTTGCTATTCCAGACAAAACAGCAAAGGGAATGGGAAGATAATGCATTTCAAAGCCACCCATTCCTCTGTTTGATGATCTACATAGAAAAGCAGATTGTAACTTGTCTGGGACATATAGTGAGAGAAGGAGAGTATGCAAGGTAAGGTACTACGATCATCCAGATGTTTCCAAATATGTGAATGTCATATTACTATAATAGCATACAGAGTCAGAAGAAATGAGTATTCGAATTACGGTGGTAGCAGTAGAGATGGAGAGGAGAGACAAGATTTGAAAGATTTCAGAAGCAGATATGATAGATCTTGGCAACTGACTGGATTTATAAGCTAGGGGACAGGGGCAAGTCAAAGATGACTTCAAATGACTGCATTATTGAAAAGATTATGCTGCCATTCATAGAAATAGGTAAGGCAGGAAAAGATTTAGTTAGGAAGATGTTGAGTGTTAGACATGTTAAGTTTGAGGGGCTGATGATACATCTTGGTAAAGATATGGAGTATTAGTTGGAATTATGTGGAGTTCAGAGAGAGGTTAGGGGATGAGACACAGATTTGGGAGTTATCTACATAGAGGTGATAATTGAAGCCACAGGAGTAGAGAAGATTCCCAAGGGAGAAATGTTGGAAAGATCACAGAAGTGAACTTAGGACAGAATCATAGCAAACTCTGACTTTTATTTTAGGCAATTGGGGTTAAGTGACTTACCCAGGGTCACACAGCTAGTAAGTGTCAAGTATTTGGTCTGAGACCAGATTTGAACTCAGGTCCTCCTATCTTCAGGGCCGGTGCGCTATCCACTGAGCCACCTAGCTGCCCCCAAACTCTGACTTTTAAGGACGATAAGGAGTTAGCAAAAGATACAGAGAAAGCATAGACATAGGAAAAACATGAAAGTTCAGTGTCTCAGATGTTAGGGGAGAAGAGGATATCAAGTAGGAAGGGTGATGACCCACAGGGTC